GGGCACTGCTTCTCTGCTTTGAAACTACTAAAATCTGCTGTAGATATTCTGAAGGTCGAGAAGGAGTGTAGAGGATTTGCAGGCAGCAGATATTCAGTATCATCAGATACGTTAAAACAAATCTTGCATATTGCCACTTAAGGAACAAACATTAAATCTGAACTGACAATGTATTGTTACTTATGACTCACTAAATCGTAATGACACGGTTGCTAACAAACCATACTAGTTGAATGAATCTTATTGTAACCAGCTGGACCAGTGGTTAACGCGTCGGTATGGAGCTTTATGACTCTCTAACCGCGAGTTCAAGCCCCGTCCGTGGTATGGTTTGTAGTGTTAATTATCCTGCTCTACTTAATGCAGCTGAATATACACTGGTTAAGTATTCTGTCAACTGGCAAATGATTATTGAAGGATTCTGAGGTCAATTTACAGCAGTTGTTGATCATTTTTCTCAAAAGCCAAGAGAAATTAGACTGAACTTTATTTAAAATTGTAAGTAAAGTGTAGTATAACATTTTTGCATTACCATTTCGTATTTTAGTTGTTAAATGAATCAGTAAGGGAAATGTTTAGCATTATCCACACTTGAGCTGTGTATCAGACAGCTCAGAGGTAGATAAGATGTTTATCAAGAAACAGGACAAGTGATGATGACCCACAGCTGGTGCTTTTGATTATCTGACTGAGGCCTTCTACTGGCTTACCAATTCATCTCTTTAAAAAATCACAGTTATGATTACAAATATTAGGAATTATATTGGTTTTAATAATTAGCTCGAAGTGTTATTACTTACCTGCGGTTTGTCTGAACTCACATCGTCAGCACCTCTCTCTTCTGGTTAATTTTCAGTTTTATTCTTTTCAACACTTCATCCTCCTAGAAGGTATCTAAAAGTTATTGAAAAAAAGATGCATTTACGATACTGTCTTTTTAAAAAATACATTTATTTTAACCCCATTCTGTTAACTAGTAATGATTCTCTCTGTTAATATATAAACAACTGGGGTTCTTATGCTCCCTGCTACGGAACACTACTGTAAATGCTTCCCTCAGTCTTACATTCCGACCTAGCCCAAGGATTTGAACCCATGTTGTTTTGGCCCCCCTCATGTGAGGAAAGGACAGAAGTTTAACACAGGAACAATCTACAAGAACAGCACCCAGAAATACGTTTTTAAGATCAGAACATGGTGGGGGATCTTGAGCATAATTTCATTCTGCATCCTATTGTGATTGGCTCAACTAACCGTATTTATATTATTGTCCACGAACATGGTTATTACACACTGCACAAAAAGGTATTGACCCTGCCCCGACCTAAGTGGTTTGACAAGCACTGCCTCTGACAATGCTGTGACAACACTGCTTAGAACGAAGGTGGAGTTGAGAGGATTTGCAGGAGCAGAGTGGTCATACATCACGCTACGAAACAAGATGTGATATTGACTAAAACAACTCAAATCGAAGACAATGTATTGTAACTTACTGCTCACTAAATGTATTGACAACGAGCTTGCCACAACCAACTGTTGATTGAACTATTGACCAGCGAGACCAGTGGTATTGACAACACCTGACCACGATCAACGTGGTATTTGAGAATATCCTGCTCTACTAATCAGTGGATATGACGGAAATTCTGCACTGAACAATGGTATTGAGAATTCTAGTCTTACAGCAGTGTGTATTTTTCCTACACGAACCAATGGTATTGACGAACACTACCACGTAACTAAGTGGTATTACAATCACTCCACGAACTAGTGGTTATTGAACAACATGCCGCGAACAGTGGTTTGCAACTATGCCACTGAACATGTGGTATTAGACAACTCAGAACAAAGATGTTATAGACAACATGCCACGAGACACAGTGGTTTGAACACTGGCCTCGAACAAGTGGTATGACAACACTGCCTACGAAACACAGTTATGATTGACAAACTACACGATACAATGGTTTAGACAATCACTACCAGAAAAGTGGTATTGACACACTTTGCCTACGACACTCAGTGTATTGACAACCACTCCACGAATCAAGTGGTTATTGACAACACTCCACGAACAGTGGTGTATTGACAACAACTGCCACGAACAAGTGGTATTGCTAACACTGGCCACGAACAAGTGGTATTGACAACACTGCCACGAACAAGTGGTATTGACAACACTACCACGAACAAGTGGGTATTGACTAACACTACCACGAACAAGTGGTATTGACAACACTACCACGAACAAGTGGTATTGACAACACTGCCACGAACAATGGTATTGAAAACACTACACGAACAAGTGTATTGACAACATCCACGAACAAGTGGTATTGACAACACTGCCACGAACAAGTGGTATTGACAACATATCCACGAACAAGTGGTATTGACAACACTGCCACGAACAAGTGGTATTGACAACACTGCCACGAACAAGTGGTATTGACAACACTGTACCACGAACAAGTGGTATTGACAACACTGCCACGAACAA